ATTAAAAAGATGAACTGAGGGAGGGGGAAATGAGCTGATGTCAGGGGCTTAAGTGGAGAGCAAATGTTTTGAGAATGATGAGGGTAATGAATGTGCAAAAGTGCTTTATACAATTGATGGATGTATGGATTTTAATAAGAGTTATATGAGCCCCCAATAAAATGATTTTTTTAAAAAGGTGAGCTGAATGTTAAGTCAAGTATAAGTTAAAATCAGATGGAGGAAGTAGCAAGAGAGTCGGATTAGTACACTTTTAGGAAGTGTGAAGAGCCTAAGGAGTAAAAGAGCATCTTGTCGGCAAGTCATTTGGTCTGGCTGGGGCTCAGTGGTCAGGGAAGATGGGAGGAGGAGGAGGTTGGAGAGACGGTCTTTGCATTCTTTGGGCCCTGGATGCAATGCTGCTGAGTATAGACCTCACCCACAGTTGAGGGGGAGCATCGTGGTCAAGTTCCTTTTTGGAAAAATCTCATTGGCAGAGGTGAGGAATAAGTTAGTAAAGGATTAACATGAAGGTAGAGAAGCTAGATCAGAAGCTACAGCAATTTTGTTGAGTTGATTCCCACTCAGCTCCCCAGTGTGCAGAACATAACTGCTCCTTAAAGTTTTCAAGGCCTTGGCTTTTTGGAAGCGGAGTATTCTGAGGCACCTCTTAGTAGATTTGAGCCACCAACCTTTGGGTTAGTAGTCTAGCATGGACTAACTATAGTCCCAATCTAAGGCCACTTGCAATATAGATGAAAATCAAGGGGATACATGAACAAATTCAGGAGAAATCTAGGTGACTGTTTGGATGTTGGGGATGGGGACATGGTAAGAACAGAGCAGTGCTGTCCAATAGAACTTTCTGCAATGATGAGAATGTCCTGGAAATTCTGCTGTCTATGATAGTAGCCATTACTTGCAACCCCCGTCCAACTTTTTATTGTGACTTGGATGAAGGTTTACAGAGCACATTATCAGTTTTACATTTGATGATTCACACAGTTTCATTGTATTCATTGCAATCCCCTTAATATAATGTTACCCATCTCAGCTCCTTCCTGTACTTTCTCAACTCCTTTCCTAACCCTTCTGAACTTTGTCCTTGGGTAAATGCTACCTCCTTCAACCCAAATGTTCAATTCTTCTGAGGTGTAGGCACATAAATAGTAGTATTCCACTTTCAGACCTGTCTACTGTTGGGCTGACCATTGAGTCATGCGGCGAGTTCAGGTCCAGACTCAGAGTGACCAAGGACCACAGTCTCAATCTGACCGGCAAATCTAGACCTTGTGATTTTTAGTTTTGGTTTGTGTGTGTGATTTTTAGTTTTGGTTTGTGTGTGTGATTTTTAGTTTTGGTTTGTGTGTGT